GCCATATTTATTTCACATACGTTAATGTGGAAGCCTGTGTGCTCGGACTTTCAACGATCAACGTGAGCCGTTTTCACATTTTGAGGAGGTTTGAAGGTCGGTCAAACTACAGCATGGCAAAGGCTCTGCTCATCAGCCAACAAAAATAGTTGATGCATTCCATGCCTCAGAAGGTTATGAAGCTCATTGTCGGTTCATGCATCAAACGGCAGCTTCCCTTTGGGAACGACTGCGGGCTCATCTCCCACCAACACTCTGTTGGTGGGAGGCGGTGTGGGGGTTTCCCTGCGACGCCACAACACGGAACCGGCGCATTTCCTCATAAACTAAGTCCTCAGCTACGTCCTCATTTTACAAGAGCGTTGTCAGCGTTAGATCCTCTGTGCCATCGGTGCTTCGGTGGCCACCATTTTTTGGGGTTTGTTTCGAGTCACTGCGCCGGTAGCGGCCAACACTTGTTTGGAAGTGTTGATTATCAGTCAAGTATACATCTGGAGCAGTGGTGATCACCTTTGAACGCCATGCTCGCGGAGCGGAGAGCCCAACTTGGCCGCGGCGAGCCTCGCCCGGCCAGTGTGCTACACTCTGCTGGAGATAGGTGATTATGGAGTGGCGCATGGTGCATGGCATTGTGCATTGGATGCGGTCGTGCGCAGTTGTGCGTTGTGCAATCATGCCAGTGCGTTCGTTGCGCCACCGCTTTCCCGAACGCGGCCTCATAACGCGGCTGCTGTCACTAAAAGTCTGCCACTCTCATTGCGTCTGCAAGGCCATGGGGACGGCGCCGGCGGCAAGAAACACGTGTGTCAGCAGCCGGTGCCCCGGACGCTCCGTCCACCAGCGGGCGGCCCGACACCGCGCGCGGACTGACGGTGGAGCGGCAGCTGTCTGCGCTACAGGGGCTAGTGCAAGACCAGGCGGCAGTTATTGCGGCGCTGCAGGTGAGTCTGATTTGGCAGCCGGAGGGGTATTAAACTCAAAGCTGTGAACTTTGGAGCCGGCGCAACCATGATGGGCGGGCGACACTGCATCTGAGTAAAACCTCACCGCTCTGCGCCACCATGTACAGGCTGAGGTCACAGCACTTAAGCGGCAGCAGCAGCAGCAGCAGCAGCAGCAGCAGCAGCAGCAGCAGCAGCAGCAGCAGCAGCAGCAGCAGCAGCAGCAGGGGTCATCGACACGGCAGGAGTCTTTGGGTTGCACCCTCGACCCCGAGGGTAATGGCAAGGACGGCTGCATGAGCAACTACCCCCAGTTCACCCTGGAGGACTTCAGGGTGAGCCCTGGGATACAAAAGCAGGAGGATTTGCAGCTTGGGCAGGCAATGGCCGGCAGCCTGGGTGTTCGGGCTGGAGAATTTCGGGCATGACGGGCGTTCCTGGCACCTCATGGGGGACAGAGCGGGGGCGGGCGTGCTGATCGCCGTGACCTGCCGTGAGATGCGCCCCTGTAGAGCACAATGCATGCTGCGGCCCTGCTCAGCGGACCTGACCCTTCCTGCGACTCAACGGCGCCTGCGTCTTTGCCGCAGCGCTTGCCGGATCGCCTGGTCCTGGTGCGCCACGCTGAGAGCGCGGGCAACCTGGACGCGACGCGCTACTCCGAGACGCCCGACTATGAGATTCCCCTCTCAGCCCACGGCCACCACCAGGCGCAGGCGTGTGGCAACCAGGTGCGGCGCGGTCTCACCTCACAAGACGTCGCGCATGCGCTCCACATGGCTGAATCCATCTCGCATTCAATCACGTCGTCGTTGTTGAGTCAAGCCCGCACCCCAGGCTGCCACGCCGTCCAGACCCTTTCGCCCACACCTCCCACGCGCCGCCCTTGTCTGGGGTGACGCCAGGTGCGTCGGCTGCTGGAGGAGGCGTACGGCCCGGGGACGCCCTACAAGCTGCACTTTGTGACGAGCCCCTACACGCGCAGCCGCCAGACGTACGTGGGGCTGCGGCAGGCATTCCAGGAGGCCCACATCGGGGGCGTGAACGAGGCGGTGCAGCTGCGGGAGCAGGACTTTGGCAACTTTCAGGTGCCGCACCGCATTGCGGAGGACATCAAGGAGCGCAACAGATTCGGCAGGTGGGGCCGCTGGGGCTGCAGGGTCGCTGGGTGGTTGGGAGTATGAAAACTGGGGCGGTGAGGGGCGGTCTGAGTTTTGGAAAGCTGGAGGAGAGGTATCGCCAGTGGCTGGTGAACGGTGGTCGATTGCAAATCAGGGCGCACGGTATCATTGTTGATTGGGGTTGCGCCACTCGACCTTGGTGGGCGCGAGGCGGCAGGCATGGGCCCGAAAATGGCAGCGTGGAGACATTGGCACCCCCTTGGTTGATCCCACCCCCAAGGTTCTATTACCGGTTCCCAGAGGGGGAGTCTACTGCTGACGTGTACAACCGCGTGGCCATATTTGAGGACAACCTGCTCAGAGACATACGCGCAGTGAGGGGCTTGCGTGACACATGTGTTTGAGTGTGTGCGCGTATGTGTGTGCTTGTTCGTTTGTGCGTGCGTGTGCGCGTGTGCGTTTGCATGCGCGTCTGCGCGTGAGCGCGCGCGTGCGTGTGCGTGGGTTGTTTTTGTTAGCCAAGGGAGTCGCCATGAGTGGCCGCTCTTTGTGTAGGGTGCAAGGATGCTGTGATTGTCTGGGAAAGAGCCGTGAGGCACGCGCGTGCCGCCCCCCCCCCCTCGCCCCTGCGCGACCTGCATGGTTCGTGCCTGCCAGCTTCCGTTTCATGCGTGCTCTCGCTGCCCGATCTCCTCCTGTCCCTCCCCCTCCCAACCTCTTCTCTCCGTCAACCAAACCCCAGGGCGAGTTTGGCGCCAACGCGACCATCATGCTGGTGTCCCACGGCCTGACCCTGCGAGTCTTCATGATGCGCTGGTTCAACTGGAGCGTGGAGCAGTTCCTGCAGGTCTACAACCCACCCAACGCGTCCCCGGTGAGGCCAGCAGGCCCAGGGCACGCCTGGCGCTGGGAAAGGTTGTGTCTGCATGGCAGGCACACTTGCCATGACTCAGCCTTGATCACTGCTTGGCTGCATGGCGTTGCTCTCCGCGCCCGGCGTCACTGCTCCGCTGCGCCCTTTCATCTTCCCCTAGTTGCTGATCAACAAAGTGTCTGAGGAGGACTTTCTGGTCAGGAGCCGCAAGCAGGCAGGCAAGCGACAGACCGTCAAGGTGAGAGGCCACACAGTACAAAAGCACACGAGAGCGATGGGTGGTTGGTCGGTATGAGGGGGGCTGCAAAGGGTATGGCCCTTGGCGATGCCGGTGCGTATCAGGGGGAGTCTTGAATGGCCGCGCAACACTCGTGCACTTGGGCGATCTGCTACCTCACGCCGCAGATCAAGTCGTGCTACGAGCTGGATCGCAACTGCATGGTGCGCCGGGGGCTGGGAGGGGGGTTGGGCACCAACCACCTCTCGTGCCAATGCGTGGTCAGCAAGAGCGGGGCCGTTGACACTTGCCTGTGGTAATCGATAGTGGTGAAGGTGGTGCAGTGTTCAGCGTGTTTTATTCAACATGTGTGCAGCCTTCTCACAAGTACACCCTCCCGTTCTTCCAAACCCTAAACCCTGCAGATTGACATGCTGAGGGTGAGCAACACGATGCAGGCATTGTATTGCGCTTGCTGCAGGGCCCTTACAGCCCGGGGTGGGGCTGCACTACCGTCAGTGAAACTCAGGCGCGTTGGCGCGTCACGGAACTCCCCAGCGTTCTTTTTCGTCCGTGAGCACTCTTCACCTTGCAACTTTGGCTTTGACAGGCACGCTTAATTTTCCCTTTCCCCGCCTTCGTCTCATACAGCTTTCCCCCGATGCCACTCTGGAGGCTTGCGACTTGATTGGGCAGGTGAGACCGCGTTTGCTTTTGACAACCCCTGATTGCTGCAACAAACCTATGTGTGTTGCTTTGCACCACTAGCCTGACGGCTGGTGCCATGCACCGCCCTATTGCCACCACCATCGGGGTAGGTCTCACCCCAGCCTGACTACCTCCCCTATGTAACGCCAATGCCACCTTGCATGCGCAGGTCTGGATGGGCTGAGGCGCCACACGCTGGCGTTGAGGACCCCTATTCCTTCTATGTGCTATTCTTGCAGCTTTCACGAGGGGACTGCAGGTTCCTGCCAGTTGTACCCTTCATGCACTTGCTGACTGCTCTTTTTTGATTCAAGCATTTGCACGAGTGGCATCCACCAGGAGCGTATCATGCGTTGTCGAAGTTCTCCGTGCACCAGCCGTCTACCCGGCAATACCATCGTGGCTGTCCTGTGTCCTGGCCCGCTTGCTTGCCCTTGGGTGCTGTGCATTACCCAATGCTCTGCTTACACACACTGTCTTTGATTCATTTCCCCGCTCTTAGCCCTACACGCCCGTTGACGCTGTGCTAAAAATGTAGTTTACTTGTAACCTTGGCGTCTGACAGTTGCTTTCTCGTTCACTTACATGTCAAGATCCCTGAGGATGCCGCAGACACCCCGAAAACTTTGAGTTGCCGCAACACTATCCATAACTGGCCGTTGGCAGCCGGCGCGTACAGCTATGTGTGCTGGGGCTTAGCGTGCTCGCTCTCGTGGTGCGCGGGGGGAAGCTCTTCCCCGCGCAGGCTCTCACGCCGCCCCAAGCCCTCGCCCTCGTACGCGTGGGGAGAGCGCTCCTCCACCTGTGGGCAGTGCGAGTGCATGCCACGACGGAAAGCAAGAGCTGAGCCAAATTTTTGACGTGTGGTGGGTGTGAGCAATGGGAGGAGGGCATCCTCCATCAATGGCTAGTGCAGAATGTTGGAGGGGATCGTGCTACATCCACCGTGCACCCACCCACGGCACGCTTGCCACTCAACCCAAGGGCCCTCTTGACTCAAATGGCTCACCTCAGGGGCAGCCAAGTGGTGTGCAGGCGCCTGCGGATTGCAATGTGACGAAGGGCTGATGTCAGCGGCGAGCCGCGCTGAGCGGGCGCAGTCAGGTGCCAGCGCTAACGCATTCGCACGACAACAAGCTTGGTTCACAGTCATTTCTGCCTTCAGCTGGCAGTTCCGTGCAGATGTCGGCGATTATCGCACGTCGCGAGGACAATCAATCGCGCCTTGGGCTCCTGGCGCTCTCCGGCATTGCCCTTAAGGTTTTCGCGCTCCATTACTTAGAAACGGGAGCCGGTATCGTGCAAATAGTGTCCTGCAGGTTTGATCCGAGGGATGTGGATGGCGCTGGATGTCGCGCGGTTGAGACAGGATTGAGAACCGTAGTCTTGACTAGGTTGTATCAGCGGGAAAAGGTCTGTGTGCCGACAAGAGCCTGCACGCCTGCCAGCCTGCCAGTGGAGTGCTTGTGTGCAACGGGGGTTTACTCATTTTCTGCGCCCATCAGCCAGCACTGTTTCCACCCAAGTGGCTTCTTGGAGCATCTGAAGCGCAAAGAAGCTGGAGGTTGTTGTGGAATACGAATGGTTTTTATGTGCAGACCGTGGCCATCAAAGCCCTTCCGTGGATCAACCACCACGGTCGACCACGTCGCATTGCCGTTGCTTGCAGGATTTTATGTGGAGCAGGGTAGGGCCGGTGCGCAGGCAGTTCGCAGCTGCATCAAAGTGTACAGAGCTGCTGTGCCACACAGGCGGGCCCGCAGGCGCATCACGACTGAAGCCTGTCGGCAATGACAGCGTGCTGCCCTTGTATATAGGCTGCGCAGGCACAATATCTGCAAGCCGCAGCCTTCCTGCTCAGCTGCCGCTCCTGCCGCTGGGGTGTCGGCTGCGAAGGCAGTGGCCAGGTGTTTGGCCCGTGACTCGCAGACTTACAGTGCCAATGAGATCTTCCAGGCTGCACAGGAAAACCAGCATCTCATCAGCAACCGCCCAAGGGTTGGGGCTGGGTGCAACCAGTGACGGGGTGAGGGCATGCACATGCATCGTTGTTGGCGGCTCGAAGCCCGCGCTGCGGTAAATCCACCCAGCTGCTTGGCGAGCCGCGGCCGCGAGCTCTGTTCACATCAATGCGGCTGTGGCAGTGCAGCTGCCAGGGTTTGCCTCCTGCAGAACTGCTTGTCGCGACATGTGATCAGCCGTGATGGTGTGCACAGCCATAACAGGCTGTCATTGGCAGCTGCAAGCGGTGCTGCCGACAACACAAGCGTTGCGGACGACAATGTCGCCACAGCTGCTGCAAGCTCACAGCTAGTCAGCTGCTTTATGGGATGCATACAGCGTGCTGGGTGATGGCTCCATGAAAACCAGTCTACTTGAGCAAAATATTCAGGTTGTGTCAGCGCACAATGCCGCAACCGGCACCAGTTTGCTGAATTCACCTGCAGGAACCAGGTTTCAAGGGCCACAACACACAACCAAAGGCGCTTTTCACCTCCACCGCCCGCAGCCGCGTGACAAGGACGGTTGCAAGGTTCGCGCATCCGCGTGCTTGTGCGTGCGCACGCATGCGTGCGTGGCGAAGCCGAAAGCGGGCTCAACCCACGCCTTTTCGTTTCAGGCCTGAAACACCAGTACACTTCAAACAGTTTCTCACACTCAAAGCAGCCGTGACTGCTGCCGGCCACGTAACAAGGACCGTCGCAGTGCGATTACCGCGTGTGCGTGCGTGCGTGCGTGTGAGTTCGTCTAGCGCGACAACTGTATCGTGGGTGTCCACGCAGCGGCGCGTCCTCACGCCTTGTGCACAACCCTGCACACAGCACTGTATCTTAGCACGAACTTGCATGTTATCCAAAAAAGCTGGACGTCATCATTTCATACGGTATTGGCCAGGGACAGCCATGTGCATCGTCGATGATCGTAGATTGGGCGCTTTTGTGGCGTTGCAGGAGTCTCGCGAGCGTCATTCATAATAGAACATTGTCGCCAGTAGCGGAGGGGCCAGCGCGGAGCGGCCACAACACCCCTGGCGATTTGGAAATTGAACGTGGGGTGAGGCGCCGAACGCTGAGCAGGCGTCCGTTGCTGACCGCTTAATTGACACTCTATGCATGAGTCTGCCCTTGCCCAAGCAGCGCCCGTTGCGCCGACGTGCGCTGGCGCCCTTGTCCCGCCCTTGGTGTTTCTCGCCCCCTCGACCCCTCGCAGGCAGGGACTCCCTGCTACCTGGGGCGGTGCTCATTAATTGGTGTTTCAATATGGCTGAGCGTTTGACGATCGAGCATTACGCGGGGGAGTGCATATCGAAGTGCGCGCAGGTTGTGCTAGCGGCGCGCATCTTGTGCAAGGATGCCCCAGCACCGTCCGCTGAGAAGCGTTCTGGCAGATGGGTGAGCAAATCGCACACGCATTTTCATCTTTATGCTGTTAGCCACGGCACCGCCTGATACTGTGACGGTGCGGTAGGACCCCGGCTGGCAGCGATATGTCACCGCGTGCATCAGCGCGCGCTCCAGCCCGCGCTGCGCAGCAGCTGCCCCGCCCAGAGAGCCCCGGCATTGCTTCGTCCCTCTCGCGCCTTGACGCTGCGGGGTGTCGGCCCCACCCCAGTTTCTGCTGGAGGTGGAGGAGGTGGCCGGGCTGGCCAAGCAGCTGGAGGCGTGGCGGCGCGACATCTACCAGCCCCTGGCAATCGAGGTGAGCGGCACTCAAACCTTCCTCGTGCTCACAGGGCTGTAGGGTCGGGGCTGCAGGGTGCGGGCCGCACAAATGGCCTTGGTGCCGGCGCTGGATGTTGGTGCAGCGTTCCAGTCTCATGGGTCGCCTGCACGGAGAGTGGTGCCTGGGCCTCGCTGGTGATCGCAACGAGGTGATGACAATTGGGACGAGGGGGATGCCGGCGCCCAGCAGTGGGCACTGCACACCCATCAGCGGCAGCGCAGGGCGCTGTGCACACAGTCACTCACCTCTTTGCTGTTCGTAAGCTGCTCGCTGTGTGCGTCCCCCGCGCCCTGTATCCAGGTGTTTGCCCAGAACTGGGGCTACGCACTGCCGGGCGCACCTGCTCAGCAGCAGCCCTCCCAGCAGGGTGAGGTGGCATCGACGCGTGATGCGCGTTTGTTGAGTACCGTATGCGTGCTTCTCGGGAGCCTTGCGGCGCGATCTGCCTTTGATGCGCTTTCTAACCAGGTAGTTTTGCTGTATGGTTTCTGGCGACTGTCCACCCCCCCACACACGGCGTGACGTCTGCCACATCATTGTGCCAGGTGGTGAGAAGCTGCTGGAGCGCTGGACACTGCGATACGGCGCCCTCACGCCGGGGACCCAGCCGGGCCAGGGGGCTGGCGCACGCGCAGGCGGCAGCGACGATGCTGCGGTTTACAAACGCATGGTGTGTTTGGGTGTCGAGGGCGGGTCCATGGCAGCAGCTCTGTCATCAGGCCTCAATGTGAAGCAGCCTAATCATCGCGGGCAGCCAAGTGGGCAGCAATGGACACACAGGCTCAAGCAGCTCAGGGTGGGTTCACCTGTGGGCTGTGTTGGCGCGCATTCTCCCGGTAACGGCCTCGCCTCCCGCTCCTCTGCGCCCTTCACCCCCAACCTCCCGCCAGATCTTGCTGGTGCGGTCCCTCCACAGCTATGTGCGGGTGCTACCAGCTTACCGCATGTTCAGGGCATGCAAGGTGTGCATGTGTGTGTGTGTGTGTGCGTGTGTGTGCGTGCATTGCGTGTGCGCGTACGCGTGCGCATTTGTGCGTGTGTGTGTGTGTGGGGGGGGGGGGTAAATGTGCGTGCGTGCCTGCGTGCATGCAAGAGCACGCAAGCACATGCGTCCGCTCGGGGACAAGGCGCTGTGGTCTGCGAGAGGGCCTGCACCGGCTGCGCCTCCAGAGCCGCCACAGGCACCCACCCGCTGCGCAACGCCGTCTCACCCGCCATCACACACAGCGCCACCCCGGCCAGCCGCCCCTGGAGCTGCGCTACCGGCTGCTGGTGCTGGGCGCTGACGGGGCCGCCCGCGCCGCCCTGGGAGAGGGCCCGCAGGGTGCCCATGGCGGCGCGGGGGGCGCCCCGGCCGCTGCGGGCCCCAGCCGGCCGCTGCGCTCCTCGTTCACGTTCTCCCCTGTGGAGACGGCCGGTGGCGGCGCGCTGCAGGTGGCGGTGGAGTTTGCACCGGCCAGCACGGTGCACATCCTGGAGCACGCAGCCGCGCCGCCGCAGACCTCTGCCCCGCGCATCATACCCGACTACGTGGGGGGTGGCAGCGGCGGCGCGGCCGCTGGGGGTGGCCCCGCGGACGGCGGCGTGAGCGGCAGCGGGCTGCTGGCGGGCGGCGGCAGGCAAGGGGGTGCGGCCTATGCGCGATCTGCGCCAGGCGGCGGGGGCGTGGCGCTGCTGACCGGCCCCCCCGCGGGCGTTGGCGGTCCAAGCGGCGGCCCGCACCGCTCACCCGCTGTTCCGAGCACTGCTGCGGCGTCTGCGTCACAGCTCTCGGCGGGCGAGGGCGCCCACGGCACGCCTGCCGGGCCCGCGGGCTCCCCGCTGCAGCTGCTGCGCTCGGCCAGCCTACGTTCGCCTGCGGTCGTGCGCCAGAGCTGGGGCAGCCGCGAGGTGCAGGCGCACGTTGTGTACCGCGGCTTCAATGCGCCGGGAGGCAGCGCGGCGGCCGGCGGCGCCGGCGCGTCGGGCCACCACGCACACCGCCGCTCGTCGTCGTCCGGCTCCGCGGCCGGCGGCGCCACCCACTGGCCGCCCGGCGGCGGTGGTGGTGCGTCCGCTCTGGGGACGTCGCCCAGCACTAGTCAGCACCTGGCGGGGCGCCCGCCCCTCCCGCTGCCGCAGTCGTCACCCATCACGGCACCGGGCCACCCCCCGAGCAGCCCCACAACGCCGCTGTCGCTGCCGCGGCCGTCGCCGCTGCAGCGGTCGTCGAGCGGTGCCGGCGGTGGGGGTGCGGCGTTTTTCTCCGCATCGCCGCCGACGCCGCTCGCGCTCGTGGCGGCGCGTGCGGGCATGGCACCGTTTGGTAGCAGCGCGCCTGCACACGCAGCCGGCAGTGCGGGACTGCCCCCATCCGGGCACCGGCCTCTGCCGGGGCAGTCCCCCAACCAGTCACCACGACAGCAGCTGGGGCGCTCTCGACACGCACACCCTCCCGGCGCTCACCCACTCCAGCAGCAGCAGGCGCAGCAGCAGCAGGCGCAGCAGCAGCAGCAGCAGCAGCAGGTGCAGGCACAGCAGCAGCAGCAGCAGGCGCAGGCGCAGGCACAGCAGCAACAGCAGCAGCAGCAGCAGCAGCAGCAGCAGCAGCAGCAGGCGCAGCATCAGCAACAGCAGCAGCAGCAGCAAACCCACTCTGCCGCAGCACACCTGCAAGCGCACCTGGCGCGAGAGGTGCAAGCACAGCGCGGGCTGCAGGCTCAGGCCCGCCCACCCCTTCGCCCGTCAGCACCCGCCGCTATCCTGCAGGGCTTTGAGGCCCCGCAGCAGGCTGCCGGCTCGGCTGAAACCACCACGCCTGCGCCGCACCGTGACGGCGCGCAGGGCGCGGAGGAGTCTTCCAAGGTTGCAGCCGCTGCCGCAGGCGTGGAGCGCTCTCAGCCGGCGCCCCAGGCTTCCACGCCGACCACGGACACCGCATCGGCACCTGAGCCCCAAGGTGTGGAGGGCTCATGCGCGGAGGCTGCGGTTGACGCGACCTCTGCTGCGGAGGGATGCCTGAGCAGCATTGGGAGCAGCAGCAGCACCACCACCACCACTACCAGCGCGGGCGCGGGCGCGGCACAGCAGGTTTGCGCGAGCGCCACGGCCGGCAGCGCGCCGGTTGCCATCCCTGGCCGTGGCGCCCGCGGGCGCGCGCGCTCCGTCACAGACCTGCCGACCCTGCGCATGGCGGGCGCGTCGGCCGCTGGCGAGGGCGGCCTCAGCCGCGCCATGGCCCGGGTGGCAGCCGGCGCCGGTTCCTCGCAAGCAGGCGACGGCGACGGTGTTGGTGACGCTGCGCGCAGCACCGCGCTGTCGCCGCCGGCAGGGGCTGACGCGCGCGCGCGGCTCCTGCGCGGGGTTGTCAGTGCGGCTCAGGTGGCAATAGCGCCGTCGTCTGCCCCGGCGGCACCGCGGGGCATGCTGGGGCAGCTTCTCGCGCCGGCCGGGGGCGCATGCAGCCCTGTGATGGGAGGCCACGAGCCGCTGCGCCCCCGGGGTCGCTTCGGGCTGCTTGCTGAGGAGGACGACGCCTCCGCATCAGCCACCCCTGCAGCAGCAGTGTCGGCCGCAACCGCGGCCGCCCACCAAACCGCAGGGCCAGAGCGAGCGGTGGCCACCCAACGTCACGGTCTTGAGGAGCGTGGCAGCGCGGAGGAAGCGGTTGGTTCGGCTGCCGTGGTGGTGGGAAGGCAGCCAGGCGGCGGCACTGGAGACGGCAGCCTGCCTGTTGGCGCTGAAGGCTTGGGCGGCGGTGCCGGTGCCATTATTGTGCGCCCCCATGACCGCACCCAGCACAACCCGCACCACCAGGCGCCACACCAGCGGCAGCACGCAGGGAGCTGGTCGCCGGCGCAGCAGCGCTACCACCCACGCCCGCTGGGCAGCAGCGGCGGCGGTGGGCTTGGGGCCGACCCAGGTGGCAGCCCCTCCAGCAGCAGCCCCCTGGCCCACGCCCCTGGTTACTACCTCGGGGGCGGCCCCCTGTCCAGCAGCCCCCAGCTGCCCTTTGCGTTCACGCCCTCGGGGGCCTCGGTCAAGTCTCTGGTGGAGGGCCACAGGTGGGGCGGCGCCGCAGCAGCAGCGGCAGCAGCCGCCGCAGCGGCCGCGGCAGCAACAGCAGCAGCGGCGGCCGCTGCAGCGCACCACGGCGCCGGCGGGAGCCAACACGCGCCTTTGCCTGGGACGGCGCATGGGCATCCGCACGGAGGCAGCAGCAGTGGGGCGCCGCATTCGGGCGCTCTGCATCTGCAGCTGCCGTCGCCGACGGCATCGCCATCTCCGCCTGTCTCCGGCCGCGACATCACTGCGCTCGCCACCATCCGGCGGCCGTCGTGGAGTGGCCGCAGCATCATACTCTCAGCGGGTGCGGCTGCGTCCGTGGCAGGCGCAGCGGGCGGCGTTGCGGCGTCGGCGTCGTCGCCCAAGTGCGGTGGTGGCGGGGGTGGCGGCGGTGGCAGCAGTGGCGGGGGTGCGGGCATGGGTTTGAGCGTGTCGCCCCTGCTAGGTGGTGAGGACGACCTGCTGGGCGGCGGCCTGGGCCTGGAGACCAGCGGCGAGAGGCGCGACAGCGACGCGGGCGGTGGCGGGGACGGCGGGCGGCCGCGCCACAGCAGTGTCAGCAGCATGGGCGGGCAGCAGCATGACGCCGCCGCCGCTGCGGCGGCGTCCGCAGCGGCCGCGCACAGCATGGCGCAGCACTCGCAGCTGTCCCGACACCAGCACCACGCGCACCAGCACGGCCTGGCCCACACGCTGGGCCCTGGCCCCGATGAGTCCGAGAGCGATGTCCTGCCGTTCGCTCTGGACTGCGACTTGCCGGCCCCGCTGGGTGGTGTGTCGAACGCAGCGAACCTGGGTGGCGCGCGCGGCGGCACCATTGCTGGCACGGCGGCGGCCGCGGCGCGCGAGCGCGACCTGGAGGTGTGCGCGTTCATCCGGTCGATGCAGGACGCGCCGCCACTGTGCAGCCAGTGGCCCTGGGGCTGCGGTGTGGGGACAGTCGGCGACGCACTGCTGGCGGTCGAGCAACTCGCCGCGCGGCTGCAGCCTGTACTGCTGCCCCCCCGCTGACTGTATTAAATCCCTTTGGTATTGAATGCCCGTGGCGGGCTCGTTCGAGCATACAAAGTGTGTGCTGTTGTTGCTCTCGCAAGCTCGCCATCGCCGCATGGCATGTGCGGCTTGGCCTCATCGCACGGCCTGGCTTGCAGCTCAGCGAAGCATGCACGCACCGGCTGTCACAAAAAACGCTTGTTCTTAAACACAGCTGTTGTACACTTCCCCATGTTGTAATATCCGGACGGCGTACAGTGTTGAGCGCTCGGTGTTGCCCGGGAGGTCGAGTCCTTGTTGAGGTCAACGTGGATAGATTGGACACCCTGCCAACCGCGGGCGCTGCATCACAGCGCTGCACCGCTCTGTTCTCGGCGCCTTTCTGCACTCTGATAGAAGGCAGCGCCTGCAGGCGTACGGCACTGCCCCCGCAAGCCCTGCTGCGGTGCTGTACGCTGCGCCCACGGACCGCAACAGCCCATGTGTGCACACGTGCACATACTGTATCAAAGAGTCAAATAAACAGGTGCGATCAAGCTTTGGTTTTATAGAGGGATGGTAGCGATTTCCCGCAAAGCCCGCAGAGCCTAAACCTCGGTGGCTGGCCGGCCGTGCACATCCCGCCCTGAAAGTGTTTCACCGATCCCGAACCGCCTGTCACGTCATCCTCTTTACTCGCCCACGACCTCTCCTTGCCACCAGCACGCTCACCACCATGAGGGCACTCAAGCTCAACGTGCAGGCCAAGTTTGGCGGCAAGGGCACGTCCAGCACCAAGAAGCTGGGCACCTCTACCTCTCGCAAGGGTGGCGTGGGCTACAGGTGCGTTTGTGCGTCGTGGTGGAGCAGCATCTGGGTCCCGACCCCTGGCAGCAGCAGCAGGGCCCATTGCATGCAAGCGATTCCGTACGCGAGGGATCCATTTGTTGTATCCTTTATCGCGCTGCGGGTGCTTGTGGGCAGCAACGAGTGGCCCGGAAGGGCGTCTTGCGATCTCTGGATCATCTTCTCGCGCGGTCCGCCCTCTCCTTCACCCCCCTGTTTCAGGAAGTACGATGGCGATGCCCTGTGGCTGCCCAACACCACCCGCCCCGCGTGGCTGGATGGTTCCCTGCCCGGCGATCGCGGCTTCGACCCCCTGGGTCTGAGCAAGCCCTCGGACTATGTGCAGATCGCCGTTGACGAGAACGACATCAACGCTGCCAAGAACTTCAAGGGCGACGTGGAGGGCAAGGCGGCGGTCGTTCCCGACCTGGTCAGTGAGACCTCCCTGTCCCCATACAGCGAGGTCTTCGGCCTGCAGCGCTTCCGCGAGACGGAGCTGATCCACGGCCGGTGGGCCATGCTCGGCGTGCTGGGCGCCCTGATTGCTGAGGGCGCGACCGGCATCAAGTGGTGAGCTGCGGGCTTTCGCAGGTTGACGATGGGACGAGTAGGGTCGCTGCTGAAGGGCAAGATCTCAGGCATCTGGAAGGAGCGTCAGCACAGTGGCTGGACAGCTGCACAAAGAATATCGACGTGGTCCCCAGCGGGCTTGCAACGGGGTGCAAGCTGCATTTTGCTCAATGCTGGCATGCACCGTAGCAGTGCCGCAGCCTCTTTCAAGCCATGTGGCGCACGCACCTCACTAGTGTCGTCACCTCACCCGCTTCCATCTCACACCTGCCCTAGGTACGACGCCATTGGTGCCGAGCTGTCCGAGCCCAAGTACTTTGGCCTGGACCTGCCCTGGAGCATCAACACCGCCGCTGTGTTCAACAGCCTGCTGATGGGCGGCGTGGAGTTCTTCCGCAACACCGAGCTTGACACCGAGAAGCGCCTGTACCCCGGCGGCTTCTTCGACCCCCTCAACTTCGCTGACCCCGCCAACCCCGAGCGTGCGTTCCAGCTGAAGACCGCAGAGATCAAGCACGGCCGCCTGGCAATGGTTGCCGCCTTTGGTGAGACATGTGGGGGTTCAGAGGGACATGGGTTCAGGGGTTCATGGGGGTGGGTGTTGCAGCAGATGTGATGTGACATGGCAGGCCGCTGTTGCAGGGTCCACAGGGCTGCGCACTAGGGACGTGCAGGGAATTGCACCATGCAGTGACCTGACTCTACATTCGCCGCTGTTGAACACCACTGCAGGTTTCGCCGTGCAGGCTGCTGTCCAGCAGGAGGGTGCCCTCGGCTCCCTGTCCAAGTTCGGTAACAGCTTCTAAGTGTTGGACCACCCCACCAGCCGAGCCCTTGGCGCGGTTGACAGCAGCAGCAGCAGCAGCTTAGGGCCGCACTCCCCTTTGTGCCGCCCGACTGAAGACGCCCGTGCACGCCGCAAGCTTGTCGTCCAGACGGTGTCTATCCTCTGCCTGTGAGAGGGGGCGCGTCTGACAATCAGGCTCATGCTGGCAGCGCAGCTTTTCAGTGTTTTTTCAGGGAGTCCCGTGACCTGCGCGCCCGCAGCGGGGAAGGGGCTCCCGTTGGCCGCAGCCGGAGGATGTTTTTGGTGCAGGGGCTGCTAGTTTTGGGCGGGCCATTCCGCCCTGCTCTGGTCGGGCTCTTGACAGAGCCTGCCAACCGGATGCCACGCTTGTCCGCGTACGATCATGCATGCTCTCGTTGACAGCAGCACCCAGTGTAATCAAAAAGGCGCACGCAACCGGCATGCCAGCGCATACAGGTGACACCATAAGCCATGCGGCACGCGCAGATGTGAGTAGAAAAAGTCATCAAGGCGCAGCTCTCTACAGGGTCGGGCTGGGTGACCCCAATTTCATTTAGGGTTGCTCAGACTGCTCACTGCAACGAAAGTACAACTCAAGGTCCTGCCCCATTGTCACCCCTCAGCCAAATCGGGTGTGTGAGCTTGCCTGGTGAATGAGTTGAGCTGCTGCACCCCCCGGCGCATGGGTCAGCATGCTTTGCAAGCCAACGCTATAATGTTGCCTGCAGAGGAACTCAGCCTAAATCACTTTCACTCGCAAACCCACTTGTGCATCTGTGAAGGGCGAAAGCGATAGGTGGTAGGCGAACGCCTCAACTGGCGGTGTTGGAATGGAGTCTGTCAGTACGTGCAGTAGTGGCATACCGCATCTTACACCTGCGGTCCCTGGCCAGAAGAACCGGAAGGCATCAGTAATTTGTGCTGCTTTCAACGGAAGGTGTACGGTATATGCAAGGCAGGCTTGTCATAAGTGTCTGGGGAGTTGGCTTCGCATATGGGCCCCACCACACTGCCGACACAGCCAAGGGGAGGGGGGGGGGCGACAGCGGGACGAACTCTGCCAGGGCATTGGGCACTATTTCATCAACGGGAAACGGCCGGTAAGTAACCAACGCCACATGCGTGGCACGCGAGTTGTAGTGGGTCCGTCTTCACGTCCAGGTTGTTTATCCCAATAATATAGTCATCTGTTCAGTTCTGTGGGGCAGGGATACCCCACATGCTCTGTCCACACTGCTGCATGCCACGTTTGCGGTGAGGCTACGGGAGTGAGCTCCTTCAGGCACCACAGGGCAACGGCGTACTCCTCACTACATGCATGCAACTTTGGTGATATATCACGCTCATCTGCTCGCCACAAGGCCGTGTGCGGCGTCTTCTAATTCGGCCAGCCCCCATGGAGGCCCCGTGGTGGTCCAGACGCGAACTCGTCACTGCTTGCATGCTCAGAGGCGACTGCGTGTGTTAAATTTACGATACTGCATACTTCTGCTCTGCATTGCAAAACTCTGCGGGGGTGGGGACCCGGCACGTCAGACGTGACGCTGCGGCTCGCACTTGTGTTGCTGTTGATGACAGTGCGACGACCCTTCGCATGGCCATCAATACAGGGTACAGCTTCTACGTGCCCTCTTATCACTCTGATTGATTGACTTTGATTTTTTCCTCATGCTATTCTAGTCTTCTCTCTGCCGGACGCCGCGGTTCTCGTCTTGCCGGCCACCATGTCTCTGGCAACTCACAAGCGATCTGTCGCCTCAAATAATCCCCATGACCTCTCCTTGGGGCGCCTGAGAGGCCAACTGCGGCGGGCTGTGCGTCCCCAAGCCACTGCGGGTGGGTTTCGTGGTGCTTGCGGGACCATAAGGCTCATAGGATGGTAGCAACATCAAGGAACCACAACATCTCGTATGCTTTCGCGCAGGCGACCAGCAAGACCCCATCAAGAAGGACGAGGACCTGGTGTGGGCGCAGCTTGCTTTCCCGTTTTATATGCAAAACGGCTCTGATCATAAGCCGGACGTGTGCAAGGAATTCGAGGACTCACTGCGTAAGGCGCAAGGCGGTGCCTTCCAAGAGGATCGGACACCTTGCGTTTGGCGCGCCATTCGGTGCGCGCTGCTGCGTGCCATCTGCCGTTGCTGCTCAGATGGGCCGCTGCATTGCAGCACTTATCGAATTGACAGCATGTAGGCTCATACGTTATTGCGGCCTGCTGTGCCACGCATTCGCCGTTTGGATGGGCAGCGTAACGGCTGCACGGGCTGGCGGCTGCGCGAGCGTTCGGTCTGTGCCATGCTGCTGAGTGCTGACCCTGAACGACCGTCGTTGTGCCCGCCGCCCTTGGCCCCGACGTCTTATGCAGCACTGAGGCAGAGCGGGACGCAGCGGAGGAGCCGTTGCTGAGCAGCTTCCTGTACGCTTCTATCCTGGCGCACGACTCGTTCGAGCGCGCCCTCGCGTTTGTGCTGTCCAACCGCCTGGCGAGCGCGGTGATGCTGCCGACGCAGCTGTTTGAGATATTCCATGAGGTGCTCACCAGCGACTTGGACGTGCGGGAGGGCGCGCTTGCGGACGTGGAGGCCTGCCGGGACAGGGTGAGCCATCGGGCGGGGCGGGCGCTTGGGTGGCGTAGCCAACAGTGGCTTTTGCCGCTTGGGACAAGCTGTCTCCTTTTCGGCAGCATATTTGTCTGGAAGGAGTGGCGTTGCTGATGTCAGGGGCATCGGGTGGTGCCGCGGCTTTTTTTCCACTCTCACGTGAACCCGCTGGTTTTGGGCTCGCAGCGGCGCCCACCAGGTGCCTGTGCTGGATGAAATTATTATGTGGGTGTGAGTGTTTGTTTCATGCCCTCCTCCTCGACCAGGACCCGGCGTGCCGCAGCTACAGCCAGGCTCTCTTGTATTACAAGGGCTACCACGCCCTGCAGACGCACCGCATCGCGCACGCCCTTTGGAATCGCGGTCAGCGGGTCATGGCGGTGGCCCTGCAGAGCCGCGTGAGCGAGGTGCTGGCTGTGGACATCCACCCAGCGGCGCGGCTGGGGCGCGGCATCCTGCTGGACCACGGCACCGGCGTGGTCATTGGGGAAACCGCCGTCATCGGCAACAACGTGTCGCTGCTGCAAGTGCGTATGTACGCATGAAGGGATGTGTGAGAGTGTGTGCGGCTGGTGGCAGCGGCGCGTGACGATGAGGCGTGTGGGAACTCCGGTTCAGTGGCAGCCAGGCGCGCCGCGCGGGCTTGCTGTTTGGTTGCTCTGAGGCTCCCCTCGCTCCGCATCGCACCTTTTCTTTGCTCCCCTTCCCCTCCCCAAGAATGTCACGCTGGGTGGCACTGGCAAGGAAGTGGGCGACCGCCACCCCAAGATCAGCGACAACGTGCTCATTGGTGCCAGTGCCACAGTGCTGGGCAACATCCTCGTCGGCCGCGGTGCACAGGCACGAGGGGTTAGGGGTGGCAGGTGTGCATGCGGGAGGCGCATCAGCGGCCGTCAGGTGCCTCAAAACGGCGTAACAACAGGCTGGCCACGTGCTTATCCACACCCTCCTTGCATTCTCCCTGCGCAGATAGCAGCCGGCTCATTGGTGCTGAAGCCTGTGCCACCGCACACTATGGTGGCGGGCTCACCTGCCAAGCCTGTTGGCAAACTCTTTGGTGGGTGCAGGCGGTGTGGTTGTGGTGCAAAGACACCCATCTTGTTGACGCGCTTGCCCCTGTCGCAACACTACCTTTCGTGGACAGAGCCTCTCACATGCTCTCCAATCAACCACGCGAACTTCACTTTTCACCAGGCAACCCGGCACTGGACATGCAGCAATGGAGCCGCAAATTCAACAGTGATTATGACCCAGTCGCTGACAGGGGGCTCTCAAACAGTTCAGTGGGCGAGGCCGGCAGCAGCGGCGACGAGAGCAGCAGCGACGCCCCCTCCAGCACCAGCGGCACCAGCAGCAGCAGTGAGCCACAGGCACAAGGAGTGGCGTCCAGCGGTGCGTCCAGCAATGGCGCGGCTGCTTCTGCTGTGGGTTTCAGTAGCAACGGCCGGGCTGCGCACTTGAGTTCTGGGGGTGGGATCAGCAGCAACGGCGTGGCCAAGGCCGCCAGCAACGGCGCAAGCAACCGCGTAGGTGCAAACGGTACAGTCTGGGTGGCCGCCCCTGTTAACGGCAGCGCCTACAGCGGCAACGGCAAAGTCAACGGCGTCACTCATGCGCGCGCACATGTCAGCCTGGGGCACCACACCCTTATTGGGCAGGAGGGCCAGGCCGACCCTTCAACCTCGCAGCAGCGGCAGCAGCAGCGGCAGCAGCAGCAGCAGCAGCAGCAGCAGCAGCCCAGGCATGAGCTGCAGGAGGAGATTAGGTACCGGCCCGCTCCTCTAGGGGGTGTTTATGAGGTGCGCTAGCAGCGCGCAAGGCAAGGGTCAAGCCGCGGAGTCGGCCACTCAAAGCGCGATGGGATCATCTGTATGTTGTGCGCATGGAAGGCACATGCCCAACCACCACTCCGCAGTGCGCTGGTGATTGTGAGTGCCACCCTGGCCATGTGCGTCTCCTGCAACCCCCCTCTCCCCGCCCCCGCTGCTGTCAGGGCGAGGTCGATGCGACGATGGACGAGGAGGCGGCCGCAGTGCTGTGGCCGCGGCGGGAGGACCCAGAGTACGTCATCTGATCACACAGCCAGCGAGCCCACAGCTTGGCGTGGGTAGCCCTGGAGAGCTGCCAGCTGCACACGTGTATAATTTGCTGGCATACCCGCGCCGAACCTCGCGCCATCCTGTGTGGGGTCTCGAGGCAAACGACAAGCCCTGGCTGCTGGATGTTTTGGAAGCCTTCCTTTTCATCCTCCCTGCATCACCAATCACAACCTCATGTTTCGTGGGCTAGATTTGTATGGCAACGTGTTCAATGAGGATGCGGGACAGTCCTCCCATCACTGCTCTCAGCTTGTGCCCAAACGTTTTTGGATAAAAGCGAACCAATCCACTGTAAATTTGTATCCTATCCAGGAAGTGCATGGCTTTGGGAGGGGTGATGATGTTGATGTGTTGTCAGCGAGGATAGTCCAGGATCCAGTCAATTCCTGGGCTCTCGAGCTCATCACTCACAACAACGGCATACCCAGAAGACCAGTGCATGGAAACTGCTGTGCTCACCCTGTCACTGCACCGCCACTTGACAGGTGACAGGCATGGCACACTGGCCTGTTTGTGTTGTGACAAATCGCATTGCGATCTCCATTACCGTTCCATCTCCAATCACGAAAGAGCGTAGTAATAACCCCGTTTGATACAAACTGGAAAATGCGATCTAGCCCTGCATACGACAGCTTGTTGGTGGACACAAACTAGTTTAAAGTTGCCTTGAGACTGCCACTACCCAGCCAAAGGGCGGGTTGCTCGAGTTGCGAGCATGCTGCAGCAAAGAGCGGGCACCACTCTCGGCCCAAGCAGGTACAGTATGCAGCGTTGCTGTCGACACCGTGATTTGAGCGGCTGCAATCACGCTCTCTAAGTTCAAACGTGTTGCGCCTCCCTCTCAGGCGCTCCTCTCCACGCCCAACCCACACCCGTTGCTCATCATGCTGCGCCGCGTCCAGGCAGTTCGCACCTCTGGGTGAGTTTGATGGGTGCACAGCCATGACCGGCTGGGAGCTGCCCCAGAGTGCGTGCTGGCTGCATTCGCATCACTGTATGAACTTTTTTCAATGCCGGCCCCGCTGGTGCTTGCAAACACTGCAGCAGGACGGAATCATCATCGGCGCCATCACCAGCTGCAACCAACTCTGCAGCAGCAGCCGCAGCAGCCGCAGCAGCGACAGCACCAGCAACACAAGCCGCAGGCCTTGCGACAGCAACAATGCCTGGCACAGGTGGCGTCCCCATGGACAGCTCGGCGAGCGGTCCTGCACGTCGCTGCTGCTGCGGCGGCAGCATCATCGCCATTTCCCAATGGCACCCCTCATAGCCCGCAAAGCGTGCCCTCCGCGCTCGCGTCTCTGCCGCTGCTGGGCCCTGCACTTGTATCCCTTTCCGTGTATGGGCAACGTGTGGCCGGCGTGTGGGACCGGCTGCTGCCGATGCTGTCCCTGTTCTTCTGCCTGTCATTCACCAACACCATCCTGGACTCACTCAAGGACACCCTCGTCATCACCGCGCCCGGTGCTGGCGCGGCGGTGGTGCCATTCCTGACGGTGTATGCGGTGCTGCCCAGCTCCCTGCTGTTCCTGGTCGCCTACTCCTGGGCCAGTCAGCGCATGTCGCGGGCGGCGCTGTTCAACGCCATCGTCGCAGCGTTCAGCGCCTTCTTTGCGCTCTTTGCGCTGCTGCTGATGCCCAACGCAGACTCACTGCACCTGCACGCCCTGGCGGACTCCCTTCAGCAGGTCGGCGGCCGCGGCGCCGCGTCCGCTGGGGTGCTGGTGCAGAAGGGCTGGTTGCGCACCCGTGTGCTTTGTGTCGCCCGCATGCCCCCTCCCCAGCCCAACAAGGGCCCCAACGCTCACCGACCCCCTGTGCCTCGCAGGTCCTGCCCGCCGGCCTGGGCGGTGCGGTGGGCATGGTGCGCAACTGGACCTACACCCTCTTCTTCTGCGCCGCGGAGCTGTGGGGCGACGTCTGCATGGGCCTGCTCTTCTGGGGCCTCGCCAACGATACCACTTCGCTGCAGGACGCGCCCCTCATGTACCCCATATTCGGGCTGGGCGCCAACGTTGCGCAGGCCGCGGCAGGGCTGGTCCTCAAGGCCACCACCGCCGCGCGCGCGGGCGGCCCCGGCGTCAGTGGCTTCTGCCGCGAGGTGCAGGCCACCATGGCGGTGGTGCTGGGCATGGCGGCGCTGGCGCTGGCGGTGCACCACCGCATCACGATCAGCCAGCCGCGGCCGGAACGCCAGGCAGAACTTCCGCCGCGGCCGGGCAGCAGGCGTGCGCGAACCGTGGCGGCATCTGCAACAGCAGCCGCTGCGGCCGCGGCGTGTGACCACGGCAGCGCTCTCAGTCTGGATCTAGGGGAGGGGGGCGCGAGCGATCTTGAGGCGCTGCTGGCTGAGCGGATGCGCAGCGGCTCTGGTCACAGCGGCAATGGCGCTGTGGGGGACAGAAGCTTCAGCAGTAGCGACGACGTGGTCGGCAGTGGGACCGGTCAGAGCAGCAGTGCCAGCCAGAGCAACGTCAGCAGTTCAGGCAGGAACAGCCCTTCTCAGGAGCAGCGTGCGCCGCAGCAACTGCAGCAGGAAGCCTCGCAGCCTCAGGCGTTGCAAAGCACAGGTGCTGAGGGGACAGCAGCGTTGAAATCAAAGAGTAAAGGCAGTGGCGACGGCGCTGGCGATGACAGCAAGAAGGTGTCGCTGGCTGAGTCCTTCTCCATCCTCGCTGGCAGCTTGGAGATCCGGTGCCTCGCGGTGATGAGCCTGGCGCAGGGGCTCTGCACCTCGCTGATGGAGTTTGTTTGGAAGGTGGGTGCAAGAACAGGGCAGGGATCGGCACCGGTGCCGCTGTTGGCACGCTTGACTGAAACCCTAAACCCGCATCTTACTGTGTGTTGTGCAGGAGGGAGCACTAGAGGGAGGGGGCGGTGCGAGCCGCGCCGCAGTGGGCGGAGGGTATTGTTTCCTGCGGTCAGCTGTGACACGCCATACCCTCTTCGGCATTTTTTAAGTGCTTGTGGGCTGGACCCTCTGGTACGATCTGCAGACTTGCCCTCCCTCCTGCCTCCTATCTCCTCCCTTCCCCCCCCTCCTCCTCAGAGCCACATGCGCCTGCTGTACCCATCGCCCTCCGACTTCACCTCGTTCCTGGGTGATGTTGCCCTGTGGACCGGTGTCGTCACGGCATCGTCCATGCTCATCAGCCCCATCCTGTTTGAGCGCCTTGGCTGGCGGGGCGTCGCCAGCACGACTCCCCAGATCCTCCTGTTTGGCGGCACCCTTTTCTTTGCTGCAGCCATTGCCTACCAGCACTGGTTTGGCAGCGCCGCCGCGGCAGCAGCAGCGGCTGGCGTGGCCGCGCCAGCTGCATGGCTGCTCTCTGGGCTGGTGCTGGGAGGCGCTCTGCTGTACGTGTTCAGCAAAGCGTCCAAGTTCTCCCTGTTCAAGCCCGCCGAGGAGATGGTGGGTGTTGCCCAAGCGACCCCTATCTTTGTCACCACCTGGCCGGGCCTTGTCCCCCCTCAAAACAACTCAATCCCACCCTGACCGCCAGCTTCAACCCCCCTGAACTCCACGCCACTGAACGATGCACAATTGAAGGTGTACATAACGCTTGATGAGGCAGGGCGAACGCGCGGCAAGGCAGCCATCGACGTGGTGGGATCACAGGTGGGACCAAGGCTGGGGTGCCCTCGTGGGTGCGCTCCTGACCCTGCTTGCCACAATGTTGCGTGAACCTCAAGTGGGCCGGCTGCACCGTCAAACAGCCCAGCTTGCGCTTCACCTCATTTGCGAGGATCTACCACTCCTGTCCCACCCTACCCCACCCCACGCCCTCCCAGACTGGCAAGTCTGGTGGCAGCATCCTGCAGCAGGGCCTGCTGCTCATGAGCGCTGGCGCGCTTACCGGACCCATTCTGCCTGTGCTCTTTGCTTGCTTCTTCCTCATGCTGCGCGGCTGGAGGGGTGCTGTCAGTGAGCTCTCCAGCCGGCGCAGATACACCCTCAACAGCCCGGTGCATTCCATGGAGGAGGAGGACTGGCCAGAGGCCAGCACAGGCGCGGCGGTTGTTGCAGCTCCCCCGCAGCCAGCTGAGGTGGCGGCGCGCCTTGAGGCGGCAGAGCTGGCTGCTGCGCTGAGAGAGCTGGGGCAGCTGCCGCCGCCGCAGCCGGAGCAGCAGCAGCAGCAGCAGCATGGGGGCGGAGAGGGGGCGGCGGCCCCTGTATAGAAGAGTGAAATTTGGGGAGATGAGGCTATTATTGAGGCCCTGCGTGCCTACAGCTGCACATTGTACCAGCAAACATGACGGACACAGCCTCTGCGGTTTTGAACTGCAATGTACGCTGTCGCTGTACTGACCAAACATCATCCACCTGACAACCCGTCAGCTTATGTGCGCCTGACAGAGACCTGGGATTCCAGCTCTGATCAATGTAACAGTCCGTGCTGCCACAGGTCGCTGGGAGCCAAAGACGCCGCAGTCTCATGCGCAGCGAACTAGGGGGTCTAGTCAGGGCTTTGGTTTGCACCAGTAGGGCCACACGGAGAGTGTCCACGGGGTGTGGGGATTCCCAATGTTTGCCTTGGTGAATGAATGAAGCTTGTGGCGGCTATGATAGATGACACCAATGCAAGCTGTCTGGTTGTTGTCGCCGGACATCAACACTTTGTGGTCAAACAGCGCCTTGTCAGAGCTGACCTCCGCACTCACAATGCCAACAGCCCCCGGCAGTATCACTGCACAACACATGCCGTCTTGGCTGTGTAGTTCACTCGTTCGCCCCTCCCCTAACTCCCGCTTGCTGCCACCCAGGGACCACTTGATGCCTGTCAATCGCTTCGCATTGTGTGTGTGAAGCTGCTGCAGCGAGTGCCCCGGAGTATGACAGTCCTGATGCATATTATACGAGCTATAAACTAGACGCGACTTTCGAATGCGCAAAGCCTTTGAGGAGACAGGCACGAGGTGGCATATCACCAGATCATTCAGACTTGTACTCATTCAGACTTGTTGCTGGTCTCGCCCTGATTGATTCCAACCCAAACTTGAAATCATGTCCGCCCCTTCTACCAGCGGGCGGGACTCGGAAAGGGCGAATAGCAATGCGCTGTCGACGGTCACTGCCCGGTTCACTCTCCATCTGCACCCCTCCAAAACACAAGATGTCATTGAGGGCGTGCGGGAGCAGCTGAATCTTGGCCTGCTGCGGTGAGCGCTGCCGCAACGCCCGTAGTCGTCACGGCCGCCGCCGGCTGTCGTTCATTTTTCCCACACTCACTCATGCTCACGCTTTGCAACCAATGTCAGCCGCACGCGCTTTTCACTGCACAACATGCCGCAGCACCTGCCTGGCCCCTGCGTGACAGGTACTCTGAGGACCTGGGCGGAGTGGTGCTGGCGTACAGCAATGAGCGCGTGACTGGCCGCATGGCGCGGCTGCACCCCTACTTCCCATTCCTGGCCGTCGCCGTTGTGGCCCGAGTCACGCTCTTCTGCCCGCGGCCGGGGCAGCACCTGGGTGAGGTTCACGCAGGAGGCAATGTGCACACGGCTGCATCCTGTGTGAGCGTCACGCAGTCCGACAGCGGGTGGCGCTTGCTGACTGGCGCCCGCCCCTGCGCAACCCTGCCACCTTGCTGCCCCCCTGTCTAGTGGGGCGCGTGATCAAGGTGGGCACCGACTACGTTGGGCTGCTCGTTCTGGGCGTCTTCAACGCAGCTATCGGTGCTGAGCGCATAAGGCGCGAGTTCAAGTGCTCACCCGAGGTAGGGCAACGGCGTGGGCGGGAGGGGGGCGGCGCCTCGCCAAGGCGGGGCAGGACCAAGCAAGGCAGCGCCACAGCGGCCTTGCTTTTAAACAGGCGCCACAGCAGTCGCAGATGTCTGTTGATGGTTGCGCACCACACTCCCATGCCCCCCGCTTCTGCCGTCCACAGGCTGGCTGCTGGGTCAGCCTGAGGGATGCCACCCACCGCATCCTGGTTGGCAGCTACGTGCGCTTCGTGGTGGATAGGTGCGCCCGAGGCGGGGCATGGATCTCTGGCTGAGCCTGCCGTCAGAGACTCGTTGCGGGGGCGAGCGGGCAGGGCAAGTTATAGGTGTGCGGGTGGGCGCCGCCTCGTGAGCGAGCGTACTTCAGAGACATACATGTCCTTTGAAACGAGAGTCGTTTACAGCTTGACCTCCCTACTGCTTGCCACGCGCGTGCCACGCGCTGCGGCCCGCAGTGTGCTGGACCACGCCAGCCTGTTCAGCATCGTCGGGTCCCTGCTGGACGCCGGCACGGGCGAGGAGGGCCACTGCAGCAGCATAACTGGCACGCAGCAGGCTTTGGCCAGCAAAAAAGCGGAGCAGCAGCAGCGGCCAGGCAGCAAGGACCGGCATCGGCGGCGAGACGGGGAGCAGCAGCAGCAGCAGCAGCAGCAGGACGGGAAGGCGGGGAAGGGCAAAAGGAAGGAGAAGCAGGTGGACAAGGGTGAGGGCATGGACAAGAGGCGCAAGCACGGCGCAGGAGACGGCACCCCTGCCGCCAAAAAGAAGAAGCACAAAACGAGCTGAGGATGCCTGGATGATGTGAGAACGTGACCTTTTTAACTATTCAGAGAGGTCCTGGGGACGGCTGGCCCATGTCATGCGGAGGTTCAGGGGCTGCTCCCCCCATCTTGCCCGATATCCTGTGGGTTCATGGCAAGTGAGCCCCCTTTGGCTGGTGCACCAGGCACCTGTTCATATCAGCTAAGAAATGACGCTACTGTCTCCTTGGCATGCGTGATGCCAAGCAAAAAGCTGGTAGCATCGGCTGGATGCATTCGCAGTGAGTGATGCGACTGCTATTTACTTCAAGACACGAAGTGCTTTGGGAGTCCTTGTAAGCCCACCGCTCTATCACAAGCTCCCAACAGGTCAGTCTGTTTTGCATGAAACAGCCTGTGTCCAATTATCTGTCAGGTCTGCAGCTGCTAGCCCTCTAGCATCTGCCGCTTCTCAAGCTTGAGCTGCCACATGAGTCATCATGATCTAGCATGTTGCTCCTACACAAGGCACGGGCTGGGAATGCATGACCCCTGACCGTGCGACATACACACACACACACACACACACACAACACATAACCACAAAGGCCAGCACGCAGCTGCAGCAGCAGGTGTAGGAGGGGTGGCGGCGCACGCGCTTTATCGCCGGCTGCGCCCAGCTGCAAACTCCTCGAGCCATGCGCGCGTGAAATTCATGCCGTGCGCCATGATGTCCACTCTGCGGCAGCCCCTGTCCCAATCAACGAGGTCCCGGCCCGGCTGCAGGTCACAGCACTCCACCTGGTGGTAGGCCACACGCCACTGGGGGGGAGGCACCACCAGGAGAGGGGGGGCGAATGGCGGGGAGGATGGGGATATTCAGGGCCAAGGAGTTGGCGGTGGGGCCAGGAGCTGAGTGACGACCTGAAGAACAGATTCGAGGAGCCGAGCAGGGCCACTGCCCTGTGTGCTGCTCGATTCGAAGTGTGCCAAAAACTAAAGTATGTCCTGGCAAGTCAGCGCAGTGACATGGTGCAAAAAAGCAGCTGTGCGTCTGCCAGAGTGCCTGGGAACCTGGCGCCATCTGGAACACAAGCAAACTGCTGACCGGCCTGAGCCCCCGAACTGGCAGTGCACCTCTGGGGCGCTCCAGTTGATGGGCGGCGCTGACGATGCCTCCGCCCACGTGCTTAGCTTGATGCCAGTGACGTTGGTCCAGTGCCGCGGCGCAACGCGCGTGTGCAGCGACGCTTTGGCGGCGTGCTGGTAAGTCGTAGCGACTGTGGGGTCGACCAACACGCGGCGCAGCCCCAGGCGGTGCATGTCGTCGCACAGCAGCGAGCACTCTGACGCCATGCACTCCCCTGGCATGTGGGTGCGAAAACGCAAGCCCCGGCGGAAGGGCTCAGCGGCGATCTTGGCCATACCGTTGAAACTGTGGTGGGGGGGATTGTGGGTGGCATGGTTAAGACACAAGGTTGGAGAGAGAGGGACTGATGGGACGCACGCCATGGGGTGAGATGGCCAGGTGAGGGCGAGCGCAATGCCTCACGCCAGGCATTAGCACTGAATAGCATTGGTATGTGCAGCAGCGCCTCTGCGGCCGCACACCGTTTGTTCCCGGCCGCTGGCCGACAACACAGCCCCGGCAAGCATCACAACCACGGGCAGCAGCTACGCACCAGCAGTACACCGGAAAGGGCAGACCCGCCAGGCCGCGCTTGCGTGAGGCTGTGTGGGGCGTGAAGGGCGGCCCACCGGACGTCATGCGCGCCCCTGTGACGTCCCGCGCCACCCAGATGTCGTACAGCCAGTAGCTGCGGGGC